GGGGGGGGGGGCGAGAAGCAAGGTCACCCCCTTTGAAGAGCTACTGAAAGGATCTCATAGATATTCAATAAACAACTCCAGAAAGGAAGGGGTTGGGGGCGAAAATGTACCCCCCCCCCCCGATAAAATCCTGTTAACGCCCCTGCCTGTTCCCTTCACATTGCATACTTATCAAAAATATATTTGACGTTAACATATCTTGACACCCTTTAAATATTTATCAATACAGATGTTTCTAATCACGTTTAGGATTAAAGTTCTAAAGATTGATCCAGTTTTATTCTTAACATCAGAGTGAAATCATTAATAATATTTGTTTAACAATTATCTTCCTAACTTTTTGTAATTGTTTATTACTTTCATATATTTATAATTCTACAGTGATAACCAGAAAACAATGGAATAGAAAGACGACATTGTAGCAATACTTAAGCGTTTTGAAGTTGTTACAAAGCAAATATTTTTACTAGTAATTAGCAAGCACAATTTAAACTGTACAATTGCTTTGTCAATAATGTTCATTGAACTACTTTAAGTCCTAACTAGGCTTTAAAAGTCGTCTTCCTATTTCAGACTTTTCTGGTTATCAGTGTATAAAATAAAAGTTTACCCCCCAGGGAACAACAAAATGAAAATAAGATAATATCGTAATAACATGTTTCATTTTTGTAACTTTAGTTTGTTTAGACGTGGCAATTTTTTTAAATTCTTTGTGATTTAAAAACATGTACGTTATGATTATTGCACCAAATTTTGGCGGTTTTTGACGGTAATCATCTCCGAAAAATATGCTTTTTAGAATATCCAATCATCTGGAATTTACCATGTTTAAAAACAAAGACGGTCAATATAATACAGTGATAACCAGAAAACAATGGAGTAGTAAGACGAGATTATAGCAATACTTGCGATGTATTTGATGTTGTTTCAAAGCAAATAGTTTACCAGACACTAATAAAATTACTTTTTTTGTGAAATGGGTCTATTTAAACTGCAAAATTACTATGTTTCATGGTTATTGAACTTTTTAAAGTTAAAACTTGTTTCTCAAAGTCGTCATACTATTCCAGAGTTTTCTAGTTATCACTGTATATGTCGAAGGAAAAGAAATTAACTAAAATGTATTAACTATCTGCTATCTTTCAGCAGTTTCCTTTCAATAAAATAAAAATAAATTTATTCCTGTTTAACATTTTTTCAAAGTTTTACGAAAATCAAAAATTTTTGGAGGCAATTGTTTGTAATTCTGAGCATCCATAAACCTTCTCAAACAAACTTTAGGCCCCATCGCGGTTCAGAGCCGTTATGACGTTTATTAGATACAATCAAACAAATACCCAGACACCAAAACTATAAATAGACTAGGCTTTTGGGGCGCTTCGCGCCCATCTTCTATTTTAACTTTTGATTGATTGTGGCTTTATCTGTGGGCATACACTCTTTACAATATTAAACAATAGCAAAAAAAAGTTCGGGGATTTAATAATATTTGTTGGCGCATTTTCAAAATTTTACTTTTTTAAAAACTAGGACACAAATGTTTTTAATTATAAGCATCTTCTTAAACCTTCCATGGGAGCCTCACACAAAATTGGGCCGGATTGATTGTTAGTTTATTGGATAAAAACAATCAAACAAACACCAAAACACACACAAACAAACAAACAAACAAGCAAACATCAGACAAGCAATATATGAAGATGACAACTATCTAATTGATGAGACAAATTATTACAACCAAGGTTATAATGCAAGGAAAGTTATTTCAGAGGTGTACGCATCTTTTGTAGTGCAGTGTACTGTCTGGGCGGTAATGTAAACACAAGACGGATGTCAAAGCCTGACATGGGATCCATCTTTCAAAAAAATAATCTATGAAATATTCTGGTCTTAGAAAACTATTATGTGAATTGTCAAAATTATCAAAATTTAATGCTTTTAACCTCCTCGGATACTAAACGAACAATGATGCATCTAATCTTGTCCGCACACAGAGAACTGGTTTCAATATTTACGCAGAGTATACGAAACTGCAATTAACTTTCCTTGCATTATAACCTTGATTACAGCAGAGATTTCACCAACAAGTACGAATACTACGTTCATGCAGTACACTCTGCGTACAAATAAATGTTTTTTCTTTAACCGTCACATTTAAACATCTAATGTACACCAATATAAATATCAGTTTAGTGTAAATTTGCATTAAAACATATATGGTTGATTGGTTTTCACGCCTAAATAAGCGCTCTAAAGTGCTGATTTTAACTCAAAAATGTTCATTCTACGTTAAGAAAAATTGTTTTAAAAAAGTTGTAACTAAAAAAATACAGTATATCAAGTAAAGGGAAAGGGCAAAATTGAGAGTTTTTGAGTCTTAATTAATTCAATGTGTAATAGAAAAAATTCAATAGCCAATAGTGTGTGTTGCAGTAAACCTCATAAGATTATAAGACTGCTTATTGTGTGAATTGAATAACTCAAAAAAATATTTTCAACTCATGTGTCAAGTGTTTTTATTGTTTCAGGTCATCCATGTCTATGGAGCTAAAAATCGTGGCTCTCACGCACCTCTGACCCTTCAGTAAAAGTAAATTCAACCTAACAAGTCTGACCGCGTCAACCTTGTTGCGCCGGGTAGTCCTATTGAGTATCTGCTTTATTTACCCAATATCTGGGCTATACAGTAAAAACTGGGACCGGAAAGATTGCCCTGCTTGGAAATTCAAATGTACTACGGCTGCCCGTGCTCTACCATATATTTTGAGACACATATGTATACTATAGTGTTGATATCTATCTTGATAATAACAATATTATAATCAAAATATTCAAGCTGTTTAAATTTGTGATAAGTCGATAATGATTTAAAATCAACAGTTACCAGGGGCGTATTCAGGAATTTATTCAAGGGGGCCGGGCACAGTGGGATATTTTAGGGGGTCATGGGAGTGGTGGGTGACTCGTTTTTGTCACAATTCTCCTCTTTACATGCACTGTCTTGTGTTTCATGTTGAGATTGGACAAAATGAATATATTCTTAAAATCTTGTCATTTACAAACATTGTATCAATTGTACAGCTAGCATTGATTTATAATGATTTCAATTTTTAATTACTTTTCCCGAGCTGAAAACTTTAGAATCGTGGATATTGAGATTGATGCTTGATCTCCTCTTTTTGTTAATCCTCAGATTATTTTAATCTTTATCCACTAAAGTGTCTAGAATTTTACCAACCCGAGTGTACAATCATGTCATATCTCTCTTATCAAGTTTATTTCAGATCTTATCATGTTATAGATGCCAGCCCTCTTCTTATAGACACCATTCGTATATATAATAATGGAGGTTTTCTGGATCCTCTTTCTTTTCTTTCTTATCTTTCTTATTCTCTTCTTTTCATCTTCCTCGTTTAACTATATGATGAAGGCAGATTACATCACATTTTAAAATAGCTTTTTTCTTAAAATTTTCAAGGTTTAAAATATGGATGTTACTGATCAATTAAGGTTTTGAGAAAAATGATCAAGACCATGAAGGTTTTAAAGTAAATTCACAAAAAGAAAACCCCCACTCAAGGCTGCTGAACTTGCTCAATAGCCTTTATAAATGCCAATTATTGTCATTTAATATTGTGATGTAATCAAATCTATTTAGTTTGCATATTTAACTACAGTGTACATGAGCATGGCCTTTATTATTATTCTCATCAGCTTGCCGCGTCCAAAACACCCAACAAATGGTCTGATAGCTGCGCATATTTTCTCTGTTTTTCACAAGACGGTAGGTCCTTTTTAATTAATAGGGTTCCATGGCGCTTCGCGACTATCTTTGAACTTGTAACTTTTATAATTGATACTCTTTTATCATTTTCTTCGTGGGATTTTTAAAAATAAAGATTTCTTTTGGATCATGTGAGGTCCCACAATAAATTTGAGCCAGATCGGTTGAGCCTTTTTGACGTTTATCGGTTACAAACAAAATCTACCAAGTCTAACTTATTCAAAAATAATTTTCTCTTGATTTGCTTTTATTTTGCTAAGAAAAACTTTGACTCCGACAAACAAAGGCGTAACTAGCACTTTTAGAAAGTTTTTTCAAAATGAAAGTGCTTTTTAAAGGATTTGATGTAGAAAAAAAGTAAATTTTCAGTTTTTGCATGCAGATTTGGCTTGTTCAACTAAAATCGTTTTTTTTCTTGTGTTTTTTAAAACTTTATCCTTTCAACAACTGTAAAATTAACGTTTTGAGTCAATCAATTCTTTTAATGCGTGCGCGGAGCGCCAAAGAACATGGTTTAATTACAGATATAATAACAAGAAATGATCATTTATACAATCTGAAAAAAAACATAAAAATACATATATAATTTTAATCATCTACATCGAAAAAGGACTGATAATGTTACGTTTTCTCCTGAAGTTATTGAATTTATGAATGATCATTCTAACCAACATTCATAATCTTATTTCATTTTCGATTTTATAGAAGTTCTTTCAAAGAAAAAACAGGTTACAGAATGTTTTTGCCACAAACTCAAATATTCTAATTCCAAAATATTCTAATTCCAAAATCTTTGCACCGAGTTGTGTAAACCTTTGATATCTCAACACAAATAGAATACAGCTCGGGCTCGGAACTTTTTACATTAAATGTGAAATGTTGAGAATTCAGAAAGATAAAAATATATTTTTTAAACTAACCATGGCAAATACAATTTCTGCAATAACTCTGTTGGTTTTATTATTCCTGACTCCTGTGATACTGATATTCGCCGATTCCTGTGATTATGCAGGGGGGAGGGCGCGCCCGGCCGCCCTCCCCCCACTAGTTGCGTTTCTGCCGACAAAGGCATTAATGGATAAAATAAACGGAAATTACACGCAAATATCTATATATATGTTATTGTTAAATGATCATGTATTTCATTTTCCAAGCATAATTCCTTCTATTTGTTTCCCCGTCACAATTGTTTTTAATTGATAACCGTGACGTTTTATCATATTTTTTCATCATTCTTGTTTTTCCTTGTTTATATATTTTTTATAAATTCAAATTATGTTAACATGAATAAAAACCACGACTTTACAGCAGGTTCACCTCTAATATATCTAAGGAAGGGTCATTTCAAGTGATCCACCGTTTGTAGAGTGCCATGTCATATGCACAATGGTATCCTGCAAATCTTTGCCTGATTAAGCATGACTGAGACATTGCCAGTTGATTATTTTCATCTGTGGCATCGCTAAAAAAGTTACTTGCGAATTTTCTACAGAAACAATTGAGAAAATTGTGAGAATTATACAACACAGACAATTTTCCAAAATTGATCAGCTAAAGGAGCTAAAATTTTTACAAACCTATTGTACACAAAGTCACAAAACACATATATTGACTTACTTGAAAAGATTTAAATAAAAATATATTTAGCTCGGAGTTGAGTGGATTCTTGAAGGTGAAGAGAACTTGAAACCTGAAGGAGGAGCAGTCATTGTTCTCAATCATCAGGAACTAGTTCATTCACTACCCACACCATTGCCACAAACTCATGTTTAAGCCCATATATCTTGCAGATCTTTAACCTTTAATATTTCAACATAAAATTTCGATCTGCTCTATTAGAATTCCTTTTCTAAAATATCAAAGACCTATGACATTAAGTTGCAAAGATATAGGAATTAGATAAACAGATTTTGTGGCGAGGTCTAAATAAATATTTCATAAATAAAAAAAAACTCTCATTACTGACTGAACATGTACCCTGCACTAGTCTGGTATTGATGTTATGCCTGTCATGGAAATCTGGAAAAAGTTGGGAAAGTACGTTTATCATTTTATTTTAAAATAAAGAAACTTTATGTTTTAATTATTCATAAAAAGTATCATAATAATATATTTTTTCCGTAGGTTGTCTCTGGTTGCTAAAAAATCTTTACTTTATGCTGGACCGTTTGGAATTGCCTGCTGGTTTCTTGGAATCTTCTTCATTGAGAGGTAAATTGAAAGAGAAAATGTAATCTTACCCAAACAACCAAAGTACGTGGTTCGAACGTCAATATAACGCAACTGAGTTGCGGCTTGTCCATTGTTAACTTTTTGAGTGTAAAATGGTAAGTGGTGGTACATTTTTTTACTTGGGGTTACGCACATTCTTTTCAACCAAATTCCCTTTCTTGAAATATTTAAAGAACTATTTAAAATACAAGTAATGTCACTACCATGTATTGAAAATTTTAATTTTAATTCAATAAATAAAGCAGAAAACTGTCTTCATTCAAAGTCAATCTTTTAAGTAAACAGCAATAGTGTTTACTTAAATTTCTTTTCTTGTTACAAACCTTTTCATATGTCAAATTTAAAGACAATCTCCATTTTCATGTCCATAAGATTGATTAATAAATAATTATTTCTAAATACTTCAGGAAGAGTAAAACAAGTCATGCAGACGTGAATAATGCTGGTCAATTGGCGAAGAAAACAAAAACAAAACTTCTTGTATTCCCAGAAGGAACTAGAAATGGGGATAAAAACCTCTCAATGCGTCCCTTCAAGAAAGGGGCTTTTCATGTTGCCTTGGATGCTGAAATGCCAATTATCCCTGTAGTAGTTTCGGAGTATAATTTCTTGGACTGGAAAAAGATGTTTTTTCGTCCAGGCCGAGCAATTATTCGAGTTTTACCACCAATCCAAACATCAGATTACACCAAGGCTAATATTGAGGAGTTGATCGAGAAAACTCGAACACAAATGCTTGAAACTTTGGTTGAAATCTCTGAAACAGAAAAGTCCAAATAATATTATCAAACTTTGTATATAAAGAAATCTTTTCAACCACTGCTGATTATATTTTTGGTTGAATTTATTGTTTTATTCCAGTCTATGATTTCAGTAATTGTTTTTATCTAGTGAAATTTTAGTTTAATTTTAGTTGCACTGTTGTACATAAAAAAAATGGAAAAATTTACAGTTCAGGTTTCCATCTCACAAACTTTTTTCTTCAAAATAGAGCTATAATGATCAAAATGTCATACTCTTTCAAAATGCATTATTATACTGTAGAACTTTGGGAAAATTATGATTAAATGTCCAGCAGGTTTTTAAACAGGAAATTAAGATTATGGGAGTTGGATGAGGGGGGGGGGCTAGCAATGGACTGCCCCTATCTTGAAAATCAATAAAGGTTATGCCCCCTCAAAAAAATTCCTGCTATATCCACATGTAAAGGATGAATTAAAGTAAAAAAATTTTAATTTCTTTTACCAGATTTGTGGACAGTGCAACATAAGCAACTTGTTTATTATATTTATCATTTTCAGATTAAAGTGAAAAAACAATGGAATTAGATATATTATACAAAAAGGGAGGCCCATTAGTGGTTTTCTGGAGTTGGAACCTTTTTATCTTTGCAGCAAAGGTAAACTTGCAAAAAATACTAATTTCAATAAAATTTGTTATTAAAAAAATTGGATAATGTAAATTATGTTTTAATTTTCTATATAACTGTTAAACATGAACAAATTCTCTCTTTTTTGAGTTTTCATTTGTATTTTAAATTTTCTGTTATCTATACGTGTATTCAATTTTTTTTTCAAGTTGTAATGCAGTTTGGTTGCATCTGAAAGAAGAACATGATAGAAAGAATTAAAGGAACAAGAAGAGGTAAATAAAAAAAAAGTTTAAAAACTGAGTTATGGCCTGAATGGCCATGTCAGTAATTTAAATCTTGATCAAAAAAATTACGCAAAATTTTGTAAAAATGTAATAATAAAATAACTTAGGTCAACTGAGAAATGAAGATTTAAAATAAGATTTCTGATTTTTCGTTATATGATTTTAAATCATGGTTGCAGATGGATCAATTTTATCCTTTTTAGGCTTTTTAAGCTAAAAGGGACTGTAAGTGTAATTTAAATGCAGTACCCTCAAATGCTTTTCTAAGTATATGTTAATTAGATATCAATGTTTATATAATTTGGAAAACTGATTATTTTCAATTGTCTACCAAAGTCTCTTGAGTATGTGCACATCTACTGCAGAAAAATTATAGTTACGTTTTCAAAATTAAACTCTTTTGAACTACAATATCTTTCACATTATTGATGGGCCAAAGCACTGCCCGCTTTTATGTATGCTTCTATCTACCGATCTATACTATTCTGGGCTAGTGTACATGTAACTTTGTCGGTGGGCTACGCAGCTGTTATATCTCAGTGGACCCTAGATATTTTAAGGAAATTTCTAAAATCTCTGCATAGCAAATTTTAGGTTTTACTATAAAATTTTTTATTCTGGCTATTGTTCATTCTATAAAAATAATTTGTACTTTAAAAAAAGTTTGAAGTGAAGTTCAGGGTCCAAATTAGAGAAGAACTTTTGTAGATAGTGGGCCCTGGAGTAAGCAGAAATGAGATACTGTAGCTAAATCTTTTGAACATAGCATTTTCTTCAAAGAGTTGGTAGCATCATAGGTGTCTTGATTTCAGAATTCCAAAATGTGGTCTGCCGTTTTTGTACCTTAAAAATTGACCAAGATATTGAGAAATTTGTTTAAAATTCAAAATATTAAATATCAGCAAATTGTTTAAATCTTTAGTATCTCCAACAATTTTTATAATACAAAGAAGGAGGCTAAATCTTATCAAGTTTTAAAGACTTACAATGTTTTTCTATACTCCTTTGACATCTATTAACTTTACGAAAACCATTGTAAGTTCCAGGGTCCAATATCTAACGTACTGCATAACACCCCAGCGAAAAAATTGCATCAAATTCCTTGACTATGATACAGAGCGTCCCATATCATATTAGATTATCTCCAATCTTTAACGCCAAAATACGCACATAATACTCAAAAAATCTAGCATTTTCTGCAAAAAATTTTTTTATTAGCCTTATGATTCAAAATGATTCATTCTTCTTAAATTTTCTGATTTGTCCCTCAAATTGTAATTTAGACCCAATTGACACGGTCTAATTTGATGTGGGACACCCTGTATATCCATCTATTATATATCCATGGGGCAAAAGGTTTCAATTGTATTGAGCATCCTCCAGGGTCTTTGAAGGGTCACTGGAAATTACGATTACAGTCCTTTTAATTCATTGGAAGCAATTTTCATTGTCTATAATTTGAAGTATTCGAATTTACGCAGGAAGTATTTGCAAATGTGTGTAAATAATAAAAAACGGTTATAAATTTAGTTTCTCCTAAGCGCAAAGTTAAGAGATACATATACCTTTAAGGGGGGTAGTGCTATCCTGTTTGAGTTTTTGATCTTTAATGAACTGTTGGTCGTTTCACTTTAAATCTTAGAATTTGAAAAAGTTGCTGCAGATACGTTTAGTTGAAATGAGAAAATATACTGTGTTAATTTGAACTGCGGATCATGAAGTCAAGTCGCGGTTCTTAGTTCATGTGAACAATTTCAAACGTTCCATCAAACGGCAGTATAGTTCGAACAGGAATTCACCTTGTCAAGTTCTCAAATTATTAAAATATTGTCATGACTCATGTTGGTAGTGTTACATCAGATCCCCTACTGAACTTCTGACCTACTAACTTTCCGACCTATTTAATATCGGACCTACACCAGCTGTTTATTTTTGTATTATTTGAGGGCTAGGTTAAGACAATTTCTGGGCCGAGTGCTGCGGCAAGGACATGACATAGGGGGGTCGAGCGCCGCGGCTAGGACAGGCTGGGGGCTGGGTGCTGTGGCAACAGCCAACAAGCATCTAGCATGTGAAACCATGTGCTAGTAGGTCGGATGTGTAATATATCGGATTTGGCGTAGGTCAGAAGTGTAGTATAGCGGATTTGCGTAGGTCGAAAGATACACCATCTGTTTTCTGTGAATACTTTCTCAAAAGGTCGTCTGCTTCTTACTTGACATCAGCTGTTATTATTTATTTGTTGCGGCATTATTTAAACTTTGCGCTAATTGTATTTTCAGTTTTTCAAATAACCGTCTGTCTGTTATCTTAATTTAGATTCTAGTCAATCAACTATCCAGTAAGACTTTGTACGTACACATCAGAAATTTGAATGCAAAAACATACTTTGTTCTGAAAAGAACTGTCAGCTTTAACTAATTTGTGAGCCAATTAATCAATGGATATATTGCCTTTTTCACATTGTTTAAAAACATGACGGTAATATAGATTTTAAAGATGAAATTCTAACCTTTTTATTATCAAGTGCTTCGAGTTCTCCTTTTAATCTTTTATCATTTCCCAGTGAAAGATTTGGGGTCCGGATAATTTCCTAGCAAACGATTTTTGGACCCCCCCCCCCTCCGGCTCCCCTTTTTTATTTTGTACATAATTTTTTATCGTTTTTTAGGTAGTTTAAAAAATACATTCATGAATATAGTTGGTCATGTGAACGCAGCGCCCGGCCCCCTAGCCTGTCCTTGTCACGGCGCTCGGCTCCCTAGCCTGTCCTAGCCACAGCGCTCGGCCCAGAAAGTGTCTATCTTAACCTTTAATATATACTAATTTTGTTGACTGTTCTAACAACCTAACCTAACCTAACATAACCTAGCCCATATCCTAGCCTAACCAAACCGTGAAATAATATTTTTTTTGAAAATAGTTAAAATTTAGGTCATGCACAGAATTGATGGGAGGGGTGGGGGCAATAATTTATTAGTGCAATCCTGCACCCTAGGCCTCTCCATAAGAATATACAATAAAGTATATATGCAACTCATGGTCCAAGTTGTGAAATTGGCCGCAACGGTCGACCCCCTAGCCTTTCCTAGTTGCAGCGCTCGGGCCCTAGCATGTCTTAGTGCGTGGTTCAGTACTTGTCTTAACCTATTTCAATCCTGAAATAATTTATGATAATTTTTAATTTCACATTGAATTAAAATTAAAACTTAATTTCCATTTTTTAGGCTGAATGGGGGGGGGTCTAGAAATCTTTCTTTAGGATTATGATTTATTAGTTTTTAAGCCGCTTAAAAGATTATTTTTTTTATCCCTTCAATTTTTAAACTATTACTGAAGGTTATTTTTCGTACATAAAAGATCATCTAGACTTTGATTTATTTTTGTTGATTTTACAATATTTTGATTTGTTTCTAATGCCTTACGTGATTATTTAAAAAATTTCAGAGATCTGATAATGGCTTAGCATACCTTCAATACCTTATGTACTTAACGCTTTAACCTTCATCATCACCTTTACACTAAGACCTTAAACATCATGGAGAATTCATGGATTCTATTTATTTTCTTTATCATCATACTGATTCTTTTTAATACTTCACAGGCCTTCAACTATTTAATAAAGGAAGGTTATATCAAAAAAGTATTTTTTTATTAATTTTGGGGCTTCTTTATTTCTGAAAAAGAAATCTGAAATGTTAATAAACTATAAAATAAACTTTAGCGCTTCCAAATAAGTCTTTTTACTATCTGTAAAAAAAAATCCCGATTTTGTTGCTCATTTTCAGAAAAAAGAATATTACTGTTTGAATAAGGATTTAAATCCTTTTATTACTCTTATAAAGTGAGGGTCATGTAAAATTACATAATAATTTGCCTTTTAAAAAATTCAATTTGATATAATCTTGTGTATTTAGTTTGTGTACTTAACAGTGATATACATGAGCCTGGCTTTCTTTGTAATACTGATAAGCTTACCGAGGCCCCGTCATCATAGGAATGGTTTTATCACGGCAAATATCTTGCATTGGGTTCATAGAACGGTGCGTATATCTGTCCTATTCTCTTATAATATTATTTAAGAATTTAAAAGCATTCTACAAGGAACACTTTTTTCTTAGAAATTTATTTTTCCTCCGAAAGTTCTTATTTTTAAGGTATTATTAGCTGAATTGGGATAATAATGTCCTATTCCCCCCCCCCCATCATCATAAATCAATTCCCCCGGGGGTAATTCTGAAAAATAGACAGCCCTGAAAATATTTATTATTTTTTTCTAGGTTGGAGTAGAGTTGATCCTAGAGGGTGAGGAGCATCTTAAACCTGAAGGAGGAGCCGTTGTTGTTCTTAATCATCAGGAATAGGATTATTCACATTTGAAATGTCTTAAAGGGACTGTTAACGTAATTTCTTGTGAGAATATATTTAAATACTAGCTGAAGAGCCCGGTGTTGCCCGTGGAAGAAGGAATCTGAAAAAATTGAAAATAAAACAACAAAAAAAAAGTTGAAAATTTTTTTTGAATTTTTTTAGCCTAAAATACCCCCGGCCACCCATGAGTGTCCACAAAAAAATTCATCCCTATCGGTCTACCTGTTTGGCCGGCTATACGCAACATACAAATGAATGTCTTGTTTTATTATATAGATAAACAGTCTTGATAGAAAAGTTCATGAATAATGATAAAAACAGATTTGGTTTAAACATGAACAACTTGTGAATAAGTAATAATGATTTCATCAGGATAACTTCTTTTTTAAGCCCCCCCCCCNATATAAGTTTAATATTTTAAGAGGGAGAGGCTCTATACCTAAGATAAAAATATACGACTTTTTTTCTCAAAATAGTGCTGGCATGGAACATGGGCGGACTAAAAGGGTTGTAATTAAATTACCCCCCTCTCGCCCTCTGCCTTGCTATTTGTGAATAGTTTGTTGATGTAGTCTGTTATTGACCTAATGCCTATTATGGAACTTTGGAGAAGAATTGGCAAGTAAGTTGATATGAAAACATTGTTTACCAAGGGACTTGGTGTTCACATGAAAACATTGTTTACCAAGGGATTAGTGTTCACATGAAAACATTGTTTTACCAAGGGACTTTGTGTTCACATGAAAACATTGTTACCAAGGGACTTGTTCACCTAGAAAATTATACTGTATTTTTGTGTATACTGAGTTTATAATTAAACTGTAAATTGAATTCTATTTCTTGTTTATGAGTTAAAAGTAAGAAAATATCTTTTGTGAATATAAAAACTCATGTTTATTTTATTGAAGCTTATTTATTTTTAGAATGGCTCCGATCGCTAAAAAATCTGTGTTATACGCTGGTCCAGTTGGTATAGCAAGCTGGTTTGTCGGAGTAGTATTTATCGACAGGTAGAACTTTTTATTACAAAGGTAGGGAACATTTTTTTTAAGTGTCAATCATACTCCAAATTATTTTAGATAGGGATTTGAAGCAATTGAAAAGATTAAAAAGTCAAGACAAGGTTTAAATTTTTTGTTGTGTCTATTTTTGTTTTAAAAAAAATCCATTTATTTGTCTTGTAAACCTTAATAATAAGTGTTTACATATGTATGTAACAAAATTGTTATAAATTGCAACTAAACAGTTAGATTTATCGTATTTACACAGTAGGGTCGTTTTTTAATAAGTAACTGAACGATATTTGATTTCTTCCGAGTTGTATATTTCAACCAACTAATTTTATTTATTTCAGGAATAGTAAAACAAGTCATGCAGACGTGAATAATGCTGGTCAATTGGCGAAGAAAAATAAAACAAAACTGCTTGTATTTCCAGAGGGAACTAGAAATGGGGATAAAAACCTCTCAATGCGTCCCTTTAAGAAAGGGGCTTTTCATGTTGCCTTGGACGGTGAAATGCCAATTATTCCTGTAGTAGTTTCGGAGTATAATTTCTTGGACTGGAAAAAGATGATGTTTCGTCCAGGCCGAGCAATTATTCGAGTTTTACCGCCGATTGACACTTCCGCGTACTCAAAGACGAATATAGAAGATTTGGTTGAGAAGACTCGATCACAAATGCTAGAAACTCTTGCTGAGATATCCGAACCTGTCAAATCGCGCTAAATTGCGACCTGATAAAATTCCATCCAGATCAAAATTTTTAGTTTTGAATCAATCATCTTTAGATTTTATTTTATAAGGAGAGTATTTCTCGTTATTAGCTTAATTTAAAGTGACTGTTCACGTTATTTCCTGTGATCCTCCTCTATAAAAGCCAGATTCACAACAGTATCCTTAAAACCTTGAATGGTCTTACAAAATATTTTTGTTTTCTATCTTGAAATTAAGATTCTTTTATTTTCAATTCGCTTTATAGTGACAGATTAGGAGAAGCCGCAATTGAAAATTATCAATTTTTAGAGAGAAAAGGGATATTTATCTCCTTTATGCTAAGAGTGTAAGGGGTACCATCGTCAATCGGCCATGTTACTCTTGAAATGGAGATTACTTTGAATTAACGTCTATGTTTCCTTTAAGTATTAGTTTAATTGAATGCTTGATGATATTACTTGGTGACGATTATTTATTAAAAATTCTACTTTTCTAATGAATTTCAGATAGAAGTGATGAGTATGCATGACAAGCTTGAAGCGTGTCTTAAGGAATCTTAACTTTAATAATAGTCAATTCTTTTTTAGAAATTTTTTTTCCATATATTTATGATGTCCTATGGGTCATTCACCCCTGTGCTCCACAGGGGTGAAAATATTTATTTTTTGGCACGGTTTGCCCTCCCCCTCTTTAAAAATCTTTTTTTCCCATCCGATATGTTAGGTACGTTTGTTAAGGGTTTTTTTAGGGTTTTTATTAGATTAATTGGAGGAAATTTTTTTTGTTAAATGTCCGGGGATACACGACTACGAGAAATTTACCCAGAAACAATTGGAAAGTAATTTCAAGTCAGGGAACAAAGGTGAAATTGACCAAGGAAATAGACCTAACGCGTAATTAACAGATTTAAGATTCAACAGTTTTGACCTTTATATTTTATAAGATTTCTTATCTTATTATTTCATATTTAAAGTTTTGATATGATCAGGATTGGTCGGATCTATCTGACGACTATCATGAATTGGAAAGGAAACATAAAGAATACAGAGAGGTAATTAGAGTCCCACCCCCGCATCAAAACTTTTTCATCGAACTCTAAATAAACAAACATTTAGCAGATTTTTCTGTTTAATTTCCACGCATTTTCAAAAATCTTGGAAAAGTAGCCCATTTTTTTCCCAGGCAACATTTTTTCCCATGGTCATGTGAATTGGCGCAAACAAAATTTGGCCCAATCGGTTTAGTTGTTTTGATGATTATTGGATAAAACAAAGCGACAAGTCAAATTTATATTTAGTTGACCCTCCCCACAAAATAACGCCTGGGTAAATTGTTATTGTTTAAAAGAAATTAGTTGTACGCAAATTTATTTCCTGAACAATTCTATACTATTCATTCAACAGTGTCGTCAATTAGAACTTTAATCTCAAAATTAAAATTTAAAAAAAAATTATTATTGTTTCGGCTTTTCTTTACAGAAGATCCTCCCTCTTATTCGTTTTTTTTTCAATTTTAGCTGTATTTAATCTGTTAATTAATTTTAAATTACCAAGAAGTTACTCTCATTTTTTTAATAAAACAATATTTCAGCCAGCCAACATTTTTTCTTTCTACTTATTTGAAAAATATCATTTAGTTTTCCCAATACATAATTGAATCCCCCCCCTCAAAAAAAATATTTGGTTTCTCCAAAAGCTCAACTTCTGCGATGAAATTAAAAACATACTACAAATTAAATTCGTCTAAAATTTTCAAGAGAAAATTATTTTTTCTTAATTTGATATTGATTAATTAATAATAATATCATGTTGGTCTGAAAAATAATAGTTTTTACCTCTGAATGGAACTGTAAGCGTAATTATGTGCAAAGATGACGATGCCCGAATGAAAATGGTTCCCTTAAAAGCTTTATATAATTAAGTATTACATTGATATTCATGTTCATGATTTAAACAGAATTAGACACTTTAAAATTGACAAGTTCTTGCACATTATTGATCAGATCAAGGTTTCAAGGGTATCGTTGTTAGCTGTATTGTTTGCATAGCCATCTTTGAAGCCGGAGGGTCACTTATAATTACGCATACTGTCTCTATATGGTGACAGAATGAATGTTAAATATGTTGAACTGTGAAAGTTACATGTTTAAATAAACCTTTGTTAAAATATAATACGGCTTATCTCGACCGAACTTTATTAAATATTTTAAAATATAATTCAAATATTTCCCAGAAATTTTCTCTTTATAGTTCATTTAATTAATTTTTTTCAGAGGAAGCGTAATGTTTTTACACAGTCGTCGTCGTATTTATCAATACAATACTTAACATTTTTATTTCGACTAATGATAAATATTTTTAAAATACTACATACATACAAACAATACTTTAATCAGTACTTATCTAGCCATAAAGGCTTTTTTAAATGATAGGCCCTACACATAAAAATGACTAAAAATTTTAAATAAAGATAATGAAGATAGGAGGAGAGGGAAAAAGGAAAAAAGTATGGCGAACTATTGATTTTAGTGAGTAAATTGCATGTCACATGTCACACTAAAGACGACTTTTGATTAAAATTTTAATTTCTACAAAGCTTTCAAACAGCATCGATACACATAAACATGGAAACAAAGAGAAGCATTCAATTAACAGATTTTCTTTCTTTACTTGTAATCTTGTGATGTTGGAAATCAAAACTGAAATAGAACAGTCGTCTTCAGTGTATTGAAATAAACGCCGACTACTGTAACAAAAATAATTTATTTCCTACAAAAAAATTGAATGCCTCTTATTATCACTTGACGTTTGACCGTAGGTATTGGAAAAATGTCATTCCCTACAGAAGAAATGTCAGAGTGGTGTCACCCATCAAAAATACAGATTAAATGTCATCAAAAAATTAATGAAAGAGGTAAATGAAATTAAATTAAGTTGATTTTGTGAATTAACTTTTTGATTTTTTTATACTTCCGCCATCTTTGAAACGTAAATCAACTTAACTCTAGATATGCTGCATTTGTTTGTACGAAAGTGTACTCCAATTACTGGGAGTAATGTAAACAAAAATCAGTCTGAGCAGTACTAGTTTGCTAATTTCAAATATGTCCATTTCTCTCAAAAACAAAGATATGCTGCCGCTGGTTCTTACTGCATCTTCCATGCTAAACTTTTTATCCAAAAAAAAACAAGTGAACAAGACATATATACATTTAAGATTTAAAATTTGGTGTTAATGATGATCCAAATCTCATTGAGTAAATAAAGTAGGTGTTAGTTCTATAATCCACATTTTTTTGAAGATAAATTTTGGTCTGTGTTAATAAACCCTCTTCAGCTCTTAAGATTTGTTTTTAGTAGTTTCATCTTGAGGTGGAAATGTGGTTAGTGGGACGTCCATAAAACTTTGATTTGATTTGATTTGATTTGATTTGATTTGATTTGATTTGATTTGATTTGATTTGATTTGATTTGATTTGATTTGATTTATCTTCAAATAAATTTATTATACAATATTTAGATAGATCCTAGTTGTAATGAGGAGAAGGGAGAACTAGATGATCTGGAGAAGGTTTGTATTTAGAAATAATTTTGATACTTTTAAAGAGATATTAAGATTTAAGAGTGCTAATAAGGATTTCATGGGTAGAAATCTTAATGAATTTAATAAAAAATCAAACTGTGAATTTACGTTGAGATTTCAAAGAAAAGCTTACTATGATTATAATTGAAGCATTATCATTATTTGCAGAATGGTAGTTTTATTTATCTCCAAAGGGTGAAATATATAAATTCTAAAAAAGGTATGCCAAGTGTCATGAAAATATCAATGTATGGCTGAATGAAAAAAAGATCAAAACCGCGATATAAAAAAACTCTTAAATATTACAGCATTAATGAAGATTTTACTGAAAAAAGTTATATTTAAATATTTGACAATATTTTGTTTCCTAGGATATATTTCGTAGAGAGTGTCAACTAAGTCAGATGAATGAAAATCTTCCAAGGAAGTCGGGAAGGTGAGAAAACAATTATGTTACAGCAATAAAAACCAATTCATAATATTCTTTTTAATAAAGATTTTTGCTCATATAATATATATATGTTAGCCATAGCTGGCCAAACAGCTGAACAGAATTGGCTGAATTTTTTTAGGAATCCTATGAATACCCTTGGGGTAACAAAGGCTAAATAAATTCAATTTTTTAAATCAAAATTTTTTCTTTCTTTTATGATTCGAAATATTATTTATTTTCTAAGCAAGAATGTTCAAGTCATTTTTGCAGAGCTACTGCAAATGTAAATAATTAGATTAAAGAAACAATCACATGGGTATATAATTCTAAACTTAATCAGATAAAGCTTTTATGGGTACCATTGTAAATCGGGCATTTTTATTTTTGCATGGCAGGTTTCTCGACATTACGCTTTCAGTCCCTACTAAAGAACGACGACGACATTCATTCCACTTTTTACTGGATAATGGTGTATTTTAGGTATCTACAAGTTATTATGGGTAACGTGGACGTATCAATACTAGACAAGAATGAAAAGTATCAGTACAAGGAACAATATGAATCATTTAAACTCATTGTTAATTTGATCGGTAAGTAGTTAACTAAAGGGCTAGTAGATCGCCATCATAAACCATTGATACTATAACTATTGGATCTAGTAGAATATAAAGGTTGAAAAATTAGAAAATAAATATTAAGAGTGTAATTAGTTCCCTTGTTTGCCCTGTCTTTGATCTGTACCATAAACTATAAAACAACAAACTACAGGTTTTCTAGTGGGCCAATCAGTAAATCTTAAAGAAATGTTCATCTCCTGGATGCGGATCCAGGATTCGGATCAAAATCAAATGTATCCTAAGCACTGCTTATTTAGGTGGTATTCTGGCGACAACCAACTTTTTCTTGAATATCCGGGCTCTTGATATTCTCTTCATGTTCCTGATTGTCTGGTACTACTGTACTCTAACTATCAGGGAGTCAATACTCATCGTTAATGGTTCAAGAATAAAGGTTCGTTTTTTTACAGTTTAAAGGGACTGTGAGCTTTATGATCAAGACCCGGAATTAATTGACAGATTATCAGGCGATTTTAAATATATATCTCTGGCAATTTTAAATGCTCTATAAAGGCAGACAACGTTTTTGAAATGGCAGAATTAGGGCTAATATGTAATTGTCTTTTCATCAATCATATTTGTAAAACTGGATTGTTTAAAGCTGTCTGATTAATTTTAAATTACCAAGAAGTTACTCTCATTTTTTTAATAAAACAATATTTCAGCCAGCCAACATTTTTTCTTTCTACTTATTTGAAAAATATCATTTAGTTTTCCCAATACATAATTGAATCCCCCCCCTCAAAAAAAAATATTTGGTTTCTCCAAAAGCTCAACTTCTGCGATGAAATTAAAAACATACTACAAATTAAATTCGTCTAAAATTTTCAAGAGAAAATTATTTTTTCTTAATTTGATATTGATTAATTAATAATAATATCATGTTGGTCTGAAAAATAATAGTTTTTACCTCTGAATGGAACTGTAAGCGTAATTATGTGCAAAGATGACGATGCCCGAATGAAAATGGTTCCCTTAAAAGCTTTGCATAATTAAGTATTACATTGATATTCATGTTCATGATTTAAACAGAATTAGACACTTTAAAATTGACAAGTTCTTGCACATTATTGATCAGATCAAGGTTTCAAGGGTATCGTTGTTAGCTGTATTGTTTGCATAGCCATCTTTGAAGCCGGAGGGTCACTTATAATTACGCATACTGTCTCTATATGGTGACAGAATGAATGTTAAATATGTTGAACTGTGAAAGTTACATGTTTAAATAAACCTTTGTTAAAATATAATACGGCTTATCTCGACCGAACTTTATTAAATATTTTAAAATATAATTCAAATATTTCCCAGAAATTTTCTCTTTATAGTTCATTTAATTAATTTTTTTCAGAGGAAGCGTAATGTTTTTACACAGTCGTCGTCGTATTTATCAATACAATACTTAACATTTTTATTTCGACTAATGATAAATATTTTTAAAATACTACATACATACAAACAATACTTTAATCAGTACTTATCTAGCCATAAAGGCTTTTTTAAATGATAGGCCCTACACATAAAAATGACTAAAAATTTTAAATAAAGATAATGAAGATAGGAGGAGAGGGAAAAAGGAAAAAAGTATGGCGAACTATTGATTTTAGTGAGTAAATTGCATGTCACATGTCACACTAAAGACGACTTTTGATTAAAATTTTAATTTCTACAAAGCTTTCAAACAGCATCGATACACATAAACATGGAAACAAAGAGAAGCATTCAATTAACAGATTTTCTTTCTTTACTTGTAATCTTGTGATGTTGGAAATCAAAACTGAAATAGAACAGTCGTCTTCAGTGTATTGAAATAAACGCCGACTACTGTAACAAAAATAATTTATTTCCTACAAAAAAATTGAATGCCTCTTATTATCACTTGACGTTTGACCGTAGGTATTGGAAAAATGTCATTCCCTACAGAAGAAATGTCAGAGTGGTGTCACCCATCAAAAATACAGATTAAATGTCATCAAAAAATTAATGAAAGAGGTAAATGAAATTAAATTAAGTTGATTTTGTGAATTAACTTTTTGATTTTTTTATACTTCCGCCATCTTTGAAACGTAAATCAACTTAACTCTAGATATGCTGCATTTGTTTGTACGAAAGTGTACTCCAATTACTGGGAGTAATGTAAACAAAAATCAGTCTGAGCAGTACTAGTTTGCTAATTTCAAATATGTCCATTTCTCTCAAAAACAAAGATATGCTGCCGCTGGTTCTTACTGCATCTTCCATGCTAAACTTTTTATCCAAAAAAAAACAAGTGAACAAGACATATATACATTTAAGATTTAAAATTTGGTGTTAATGATGATCCAAATCTCATTGAGTAAATAAAGTAGGTGTTAGTTCTATAATCCACATTTTTTTGAAGATAAATTTTGGTCTGTGTTAATAAACCCTCTTCAGCTCTTAAGATTTGTTTTTAGTAGTTTCATCTTGAGGTGGAAATGTGGTTAGTGGGACGTCCATAAAACTTTGATTTGATTTGATTTGATTTGATTTGATTTGATTTGATTTGATTTGATTTGATTTGATTTGATTTGATTTGATTTGATTAAGGAAGGGGGATCAACCACCTATTTACCCCCTTATTCGACCCTGCTTGCATCACATCACTTCATCTTAATCTCAGGCTATACATACTGTTTTTTTTTCTAGAGAGTTTCGAGATCAACACATGCTTTTCAATGTATATGTTGCATTCCTTCAGTACCTGCAGTACGTTTATCAGGTACTAGACTTTTAGAGCGCTTCGTGTCCATCCTCTATTTCAACTTCTGTGAGCATCTTCTCTTACAATATAAAACAAGAAAAATAAAATTTTTCGGATTCAATAATATTATTTTGTGGATTTTCTAAATTTTTAAATATTTTGGAGACAAATTTTTATAATTCCATTAGTTTTTAATTAGATTTTGAAAAATCTGTTTTTGGAGGATGAAATAATTTGATTGATCGATTATTAAAAAATTAATTAATTTTTTGAAATAAAGAAAAATGTTATTAACTTCTAATATTTTATTTTTTTCAGAAAGGTTGTCTCTACAGGCTCAGATCTTTAGGGGAGAGAAAGGAAATGGATATTACTATTGATGGATTCCATTCATGGATGTGGAAAGGTAAATAAAAGAAAAACATGAATAAAGCAAGGCACACTTAAAGAAAGAAAATGGATTCCATTCATTAATTTAAAAAGGTAGTTAAACAGAAATGAAATAGATTCCATTCATATACATATATAGGTGAAGATAAGATAGGAAATGGATTACATTTATGAATATATTAAGGTATATAAAAAAAGGAAATGGATTCCATTCATGAAGATATAAAGTTAGAGATAAGAAAGGAAATGAATTTAATTCATGAACATATAAAGGTAGAGATAAGAAAGGAAATGGGTTTCATTTTTGAACGTATAAGGTAAAGGTTAGATAGGAAATGGATTCAATTGATGAACATATAAAGTTAGAGATATGAAAGAAAATGGATTTCTTTCTTGAACGTACAAAGTCAGAGATAAGAAAGGAAATGGATTCAATTCATGAACATATAAAGTGAGAGATAAAGAAAGTAAAAAGATTTCATTCAGGAACATATAAAAGATAAAGAAAGGAAATAATTCCATTCTTAAACATATAAGTTAGAGAAAAGAATAGAAATGGATCCTATTCATGAACATAAAAAGTTAGAGATAAGAAAGGAAATGGATTCAATTCATGAACATAAAAAGTTTGAGATAAGAATAGAAATGGATTCCATGCATGAACATGTAAAAGTGAAGATAAGATAGGAAATAGATTCCATTTATGAACATATAAATTATAAATAAGATAGGAAATGGATTTCATTCATGAACAAATAAAGGTGACGATTAGTTAGGAAATAGATTCAATTCATGAACATGTAAAAGTGAAGATAAGATATGAAATGGATTCCATTAATGAATATGTTAAGCTATATAAAAGAAAAGAAATGGATTCCATTCATGCACATATAAAGTTTGAGATAATAAAGGAAGTGGAATTCATTCATGAACATGTAAAGCTAGAGACGAGAAAGGAAATTTATGAACATATAAAGTTGGAGATAAGAAAGGAAATGGATTTCGTTCTTGAGCGTATAAATGTAGAGATTAGAAAGGAAATAAATTCAATTTATGAACATAAAAAGTTGGAGATAAGAAAGGAAATGGAATTCGTTCATGAACATATAAAGGTAGAGATAAGAAAGGAAATAAATTCCATTTATGAACATATTATTATTATTATTATTATTATGATTTTTATTATTATAATTATGTTAGAGATATGAAAGTAAATGGATTTCATTCTTGACATATAAAGATAGAGAAAAAAAAATTCGATGGCAGGATAAGAAACACAAAGATAAAGAATTGAAACAAAACAATTAAAAAAAGGGAAAAAAGGATGTGAACTAACCAAGGATTTCTAATCACTCCTAGAATTTATTATTTTGTATTTTTGATATATTCTTCTTTTGTTTGAAGGACTTGGATTTCTGATCCCGTTTCTTTATATTGGATACATGACCCAGCTGTACAACTCTTATACACTATATCAGCTCTCTCATCATCAAGAGGCTTGTTGGCAGGTTGGTTACTTCCTCCCCTCCTGCTTCCTCTCCACCCCCTTCCATTCCTCCCTCCTTCCCCTTGCACTTTTCTTTTCCTTAATTAGGTGACTTGTCTGTATTTGTTGGAAAATTAAAGATTTATAAAATTCTAAACTTCTATTCTATAATGAAAATTAATTAAAATGTAAAAACTGTGCAATTTAAATTGTTTTTAATTAAATATTTAGTCAAATATATATCTATCTATCTATCTACAATTAGCTCAAATTTCTTTAAATTTAGTCTAACTTACCTCCCAAGGACATTTCTAATATTGAAATAATCAAAGCATTTGTGAAAATTTCCTTTGCGTTTTGAATAATCAAGCTATAAAGCCTTTTATTTTTGAAATATGAATTTACGAATATATATTAATACACCATGGTCAGCATATATATTAGTACGAAATCGTTGCTAGACATATAAAGAGTAGTCAAAAAGAGTTGTCAGGTAATAAAATTGTATTATATAACTATGCTGACCTCTGAAGCGGAAAAAAATTCTTCATTTTGAAAAGAGCATTGTACTCTCAGGAGTCAGGAGCATCTTACAGTGGTTGTAGTGGTTCATTTTCAATTTAGTTTCAAATTTTTTTTTAAAATCCGGTTCAGAAAGTTTTATTTAAGATTTATTTGATTTGATTTGATTTGATTTGAGGGATGAGATAGGATTCGAAAATTAAGGATATTATTTGTATTATAAAATGGGTAAAAAAATCCTTTAATGATAATGTAGTCGAAGTGCAGTCAGTGAATGATTATTTTGAGTTTAAATTTTATTATAATTGAAAAGAGTTAAATAAGTTTATTTTATTCTTAGGTTCCCGTACTCTCTGCTCTATTTTTTCTACTAGGAGCAGGTTGGATAACATTAATATCGACAAACTCAGAATTATGTATATTATGTGCATTTTTTGGTTTTGAAGGAATCTGAGCAAAAGTTTAAAGGGATAAATTGTGGACTGTTATTTTTATATTTTATTATTATTGTCATTTTTGTATTTCCTGCACCCAAATTATAAAAAAATGTTTTTGTTATTTTTATATTTGATGTTGTTATTGTGGTTGTAGTTATTGTTATTGTTTTAGTTATTTCTGTTGGGTTGTAGTTATTGTTGTTGTGGTTTTAGTTTTTGTTGTTGTGATTTTAGTTATTGTTGTAGTTGATATAATGGATGTTGTTGTGGTTGTAGAATTCGTTTGTGGTTTTTAATAAAATGGATGTTATTGTCGTGTAGTTTTTGTTGTTAGTGGTTAATAAAATGGATGTTGTTGTCGTGTAGTTTTTGTTGTTAGTGGTTAATAAAATGGATGTTGTTGTGTAGTTATTGTTGTTAGTGGTTAATAAAGTGGATGTAGTTATTGTATTTGTCGTTGTTGTTATCTATATTGTGTTAAGGGAATATCATCACCACATCAATGACTCTGCCAGCCAAGTTCTCAGATTCCAAGGCAAGTTTTTATACATTTTAAAAAATTTTATTTTTATTAAAGAAGAGATCTTTTGTTTTCTCTGCTTTTCGTAACCTGATTGATAAATTGATTGATTTTAGATTCTACATTGAGGAAGTTCGTAAATCATAAATCAAAATACTATATTTTTTATGCCTATTTTTATACAAATTATTTTGATTAATAATCTTTTCCTGATATAATTGCTTTTGTTTTAGGAAAAGCTGAAGTACAAGTTTGTTCGGCTGGATAAATACTTTTGGAATCATAGGAAGCGTAGAGTAACTGTCTCACAGGTAGTGTTGTTAATCGGTTTTAAATACGGAAATACGTTAAAAAATGATGGTTTTTGACTATGGGTCATAACGAACCAACATTTTGAACTTTTAAAAAAACAAAAATCAAAACATCGCAACGTTAGTTTTTTTAAACTTCCGGTTTTTAGAGAAAAAAATTCTAATGTTATTTTAAATTTATTTTCAGGACGATAAGTTTATGAATATTGTCTCAAATGTTTGTTTTTATCGAGAGAAATAACCTAAATGTTTTCTGACCTAAGGTTTTTCTGATCTGATCAGACCAAAACATGTATTTTTTTTAAAAAAGGTTGTTAACGATTAATGACGAAGGGTTGTCGTTCAATTAAAAACGACCTAACTCTGTTAACGAAACGACGAACTAAAACTAAAAAACGACTTCTTCGTTTTTTAATAAAAGAAAACGATATTTTTTAAAAAATAACGTCTTTAAAACGACTGTTTCTTTGTCGTTTTTAAGACGAAACGACCGTTTTTCAAGAAAGTAAAAAGGTTTTCACTGTGGCATGGTTGAAGGCAATGCTCAGGATTTTGGATTTTGCAACATTTCGGATTCCTGGATCCGAATCCGCAAAAATATCAACCAAAACCTGCAAAAAAAAACTCATTGTCCTGAAATCACGAATCTGTCAGCTATTAAAAGATTTTTAAAAACTTCATAATCTCTGTATGGTTTATCACGTTTCAACATAATATAAGCGGAAAAAAAGAAAAAATTAACATGCTACATTTGTTCAAAAATTAGTAAATCTTAAAGAAATGTTCATGACCTGGATCCGGATAAAATTTTTTTTTAAATCTGATTCTTATTTCAGTGTCTATGACAAGCTTAGTTTTAAAACATATTTAACAGAATTTTTAAATAAGTCCGTAGTATTGGTGGAGCAAAGAATTAATTATTAAAGCTTAAGGCAGATTCTTATATTAAGGATTTGACCTTTTTTTTTTAACTGCAGAGGAAGAAAAAAATTGAAGGATTGTCTTGGTTAAATTTTTAAATTCCACGAGCAACCCCCCAGTTACTTTATGCAAATACTATTATCTTCATAATATCACAATTTAAAACTATTTATTTAAACATATTTTAGGCAAACCCTAAGTTTTCTCAAAGTGTGGATAGGATACTAAGAAGAGATAAATCAGAATCATTTCATCTCAATCCTATCAATGGTATCCCAGAATCACAGGTCAGACTTAATAAATGTTTTAAAGAGACGGTAACTGTAATTTCTTGTGTCCGATTCACAACTGGGCCTTTTAAACTTCTATTTTAGTAACATATAGGATCATTTTTCTATTGTTTTTCCTCTTTGTCTCTAAAGCATTAATGCATAAGCTTTGTTTATAGAGAACTCACCATTGAAAATAGTAAATGTTTACTAAGTCTAAAAAGGATATCTTCTTTATCCGGCGTCAAACAAATGTTAAAATGTTAAATTGAAATTATGATAACGTTACTTTTTCTTTGAATCATGTTGTTGATATTTTGACGAACACAAAGTAAAAAAAAATGAAAAGGTATGATATATAATATGATTTTCTAAAATATTTAACTAAATCTAATGAGAAAAACTCTAAAATTTCATTCACCTGTAATTGTGAATGGTTCATAAGTATTTTTATAGATTTAAGATGATAGTTTTAATTTATTTGATACTTGTTTGGGAACAAAGCTTTGCCAGGCATCTAAACTTTTGCTAGAGTCGACCTTTTCCACATAGAATTGTTTTGAGTTTTGAACGGATCCCCAAAAACTTTGATTTGATTTGATTTGTTACTAAAGCAAAAATTTTATACATTGATTTTTAATTCGCACTATTAGATCGGAAATGTTAACAAAGTAAAATTAACGTAATCGGTTCAAAATTGAGGCTCCGTCATCAACCACATTTTGTGCATTTTCTAAAATGTTAAAATGGTGGCTTCTATTCCTATTCTGACATTACAGAAATGGCCTAAAAAAATGTTTTATTGTCAAGTTACGAGAGAAATTTGTAAGTTATCGGCCAAAAAATCCATTTAAAAAAACCGTTTCTGTTGCAATTTTCTCCTAAAATGATGCAATTTATTAAAAAATAGTTTTGCATAAAAAGATGCCCTTTAATGTCTCTATAACAATGCAAAAAACTCCAATATCTTTAAAGAACATATGGAGTTATTAACCGTTCAGTGAATTATTCAAGACTTTATTACTTTAATGGGCCAAACAGCAATGTCACTCAAAAACCGAGATTTTACGCGTTGCTAATATTGTTAACTAAAATGTCCAAAGCTCAGTCGTCTTAAAAGATATTCAACATTTGTAATTTACTGTGCAATCTTCACGTCATTGGTATCTTTTTATGAAAACAAGTTTATTAAAAGGTTGCATCATTTGGCAAAGCAAGGGGAGTTGAGGAGAAAATTGCACCAGAAACGGGTTTTAAATGGATATTTTTGGCCAATACCTTACAAATTTCCCTTGTAACGTGTCAAAAAAAGATATTTTCTAGGTCATTTCTGAATCTTATTGAGCCGAGAATGGTTGAAAAAAGGTTAAAAACGGCCAAAAACGGCAGGAAAACAGTAAAATGGCTGGGCCATTTAGGAAAATTATTTCAAAATCGGAAAATTTCGTGTTTGAGCTAGTTTTACCCTAATGCTTCCTAAAAAATGTGTCGCACATCTGGGAAATTTTTTAGGGGCACAGGGGGGGGGGAGTGGCGACAAAACGTTTTACTTTCCGGGAAATTTAATCCGTGTATAAACATAACTTAGCATTGTCGTAGGAGGCTGATTTTTTTTACATGCGAACTTAATGTTATGTATATTACATGAAATTTTTGGTTTTTAAAGGATCTGAGCAAAAGTGTGTGTGCGCGCGCTTGTTTTTAAAAAATACGACTTTTTTGACAGTAAATCAATCTTAACTTCATTAATTACACTTTAACATTTATCCTGACACTCTTGAAACAAATATGCGCTAAAAAATTCACCTCCAAAGGCATAAATGTCCGCGCGCGCGCGCAATAAGAGAAAATATCTTTGAATACTTATCTGCTCAGTTTGACCGTAATTGGAATAAAAGTAGCATGAGATACATCAAATTATAACAAAATTGGGACAAGGAATTCATTTCCAAGGTCAAAATAGACATTGGAGCATTCTGACCGGCACGCTAGTAGCCAACCATTACACTATGATTTTACATGTTGTATGTCGATTAAAGGTAATAGAGCATGAGGAATTCATTTCTGAGGTAAAAAAATGTTTGGAACATTCTGACCGGCGCGCTAGTTGCCGGCAATTACATTATGTGTCATCTTTGCACAGATTTTACATGTTGTATGTCGATTTATAGGTAACTGGGCACGAGGAATTCATTTCTTAGGTCAAAATAAATATTGGAGCATTCTAACCAGCGTGCTAGTAGCCGGCAGTTACATAATGGGTCATCTTCCCACATATTTTACATAGTGTTTGTCGATTTATAAATAATTGGGCAAGAGGATTCCATTTCTTCGGTAAAAACTTTCGTAAGACCACTCTGATCGGCGCGTTAGCAGCCAGCAGTCACCTTCTGGGCCATACTGCCATATGTTTTACTTGCAGTATGTCGATTCTAGGGTACTAGACACAAGGATTCTAGGTAAAAAATAAGTTTAAGGACTCTGATCGGTACGCTTCTGGCCAGAGTGTAATTATGGTGTCAACCTGTAATAGTTTTTCATAGTTTGTTCAGGTTTATATCAGGGTTTAGGTATTAGACGAGAGGAATCCATCTACGTGGAGTAAATCACAAGCAGAGCATTCTGGCCTACCATGTGGTTTATCCTACCAAATTCCATGACATACTACGAAACATCTTGATAGTTTGACCGCTCTCGCTTTTGCTCAAATCCGTTAAATACCAAAATATACATGTAAAATACATAATTTTAAGTTCGTATGCAAAAAACCAGCCTCCTACGACAATGCCAAGTTATGTTTATACACTGTTTAAATTTCCCTGAGAGTAATACGTTTCGTGCCCCCCCCCCCCCCACCCGGAAGAAATATTATGTTAAAATAAATTTGTATGGTTAGGAGGGAGAAGAGACTGCTTCCCAGACCTCTGACGAGCTAGACCTGGAGGTACAGGAGGTTATGGACACCATCAAGGACGGTATCCTTGAGGATGAAGATGATAACGAGGTTACTCCGGCTCATCAGGAGCAACCAATCAATCAATCAACTGATAAACCTCATCCTGACAAGAAATATGATTAAGGAAATTAAAGACATAGTTTGAATTTCCCAGGTCCAATAATGGCTGACAATGGTACCCTTTAAAGGGAGTGACCGGCTAGACATGGTAGTTAAGCTGAAAGTGCAGTTGTGTAAAGAAATTCTCTACAATACTGCGCTCTCACCTCAACTATGTCTAGCCGGTCACTCCCTTTAAACCTTTTGAGCATCGATGACACAGAATTCCTTATTATTAAAGCTGAATATTTGATTCTCAAGATGACTCTAGTGTACACTCAAGTTTAGAAACACTCAATTTATTTTCAGCAGTAAAAATAAGAAATTCTCCGTTATGCATGATCAGACAAAGGTTTAAAAGTACTTTACCGTTGTGAATCGGACATCTAGAAACGGAGTGGCATTTGAAATTACAGTCGTTTCGTTTCAAGATCTTGGTTCAGGGTTTATTTTTCAATTGTATTAAAAAACGAGCAAAATGAAATGTAAATGTTTCTTTCTCCTACTTTTTGATCAAATGAAAACAAAAATAGTTTTAATGTTTTTTTTTGCTCAACATTTTATGTTTGAGAAGTGAAGTCATATAAACCTAACATTAGTACCCTTCATCATTAAATAGGATCAAAGGATACTGTTGTGAATCAATAACGGTTTTATTTTAACAATATGTCACCTCTAAACACATTGAGACGACATTTAAAATCAAAATTACACAATTTTCTTTTTTATTTTACAGATGTTACCTTGAAGTTAAAAATGTAATTATCTTCTCTGTAACACAATTAAAAAACATAATTGCTATATATTTTACGCAAAATTTCCACGGGTTTGATGATATTTAAAACAATACATATTTAAATATTGAAGGCCTTGATTGAAAGGAAATCTTGATCTCGAAATATTTTTCTCGAAAAGTTTTGCCATTTTTTGTACATATATAGTTAGCCGTTTTTGACCATTTCAGAAAAAATTTTGTTTCTTAGTTTTATAAATTCATATGTTTTGATACAACAAATATTGGGTTATTGATCCTTTTCGAAATTTTGATAAATCGTGATCACATCGTAACCAATTCTAGTGATGTCTTGAGTCGTGCTAACAATACTATTTTAACGTTAATTATCATCGTAAGTTATATTTGTAGAAATTGTAACATTTTTATATTTTTGTATCCCTCCCCCTCCCCCTCCACCTCATTTGAAAATTTTGATTTTCTATGATAAAGAATAAATGTAAATGTAATCTTCGATGTTAATTTATTTGTCTGTATAATAAAGGCTAATGAAAGTGCTTTTTACTTTCAGATTAAGAAAGTTTTTAGCCACTGGGTTACCCACAAACAATGAGAATTCTGATACAACTGTTAGTATCCAGGTTTTTTTCCCCCGGCCCTATGATGATTTCTTTAGAATTGTGACTTTTAAATGACCAAACACCCCCCACTCCAGGAAAATTCTGAAAGCCGCCCCTGTCTGCTACAAGAAAAATGGAGCAAATTTTTGATATTAAGAACTAGAAGAACGACTATATCTTCCACACCATAGATCAGATAAAGGTTTATAGTTTACCGTTGTGAATCGGCAAGCCCCTATATAAGTGGAAGGCCACTTGAAATAACGACGACAACTGTTCCTATTTACATTATTCTGCCTGTCTGGTAAAAATGTCAAATGTGATTTTGATTAGGGGGGGGGGACATCTACAAATTAAAGGATGATAAAGGCGATTGAGAGTGCTTCTTACTTTTAGATTAAGAGAGTTTTTAGCTACTAGGCTACCCACAAACGATGAGAAATCTGATATGACTGTTAGTATCCAGGTTTTTTTTCCGTTGGGGTTCATAAAGAATGACATTCTCGGGATCGGAAGATAAATTAGATTATCAGAGCCTGAGCTGAAAACTTTAGAATGTGATATCCTTAATCCCGATCTGTTGACTTTTCTGGAGATTAAATTCACGAGGAAAACAAGCAATATTTAATCTGGATATTAAGAAAAAGTTTGGATTATGCATTAATCCTGATATCCACCATTCTAAAGTTTTCAGCTCAGATCTATTAATTTTAGGAGTTCCAAGTCTCATCCTTTATGGGTATCCCAGTATATTTACGTTTGATACTAACTATTAAAAAACAGGAAACAAAAATTTTAATATAATTATATTTTACTAATCAAATAATATATATATTTGTTTTTTTTTATCTTATTTAAAAGAACAGTAAACTCGTAAATTTTTCATATTAATAACGAATGCTTAGACTAAATTCTAATTTTGACGTTTTTTGATACAATCAAACAGACTGACAAGCTAAATATATATATACTAGGCTTTTAGGGTGCTCCGCGCCCATCTTCTATTTTAACTTTTTATTGTACAAAACATTAAAAAAAATTGCACATTATTTCAAAATTTTACTAAAATTAAACGCTTTTGGATACAACTTTTTGTAATTCTTAGCATCCACCAACCTTCCTCGGGGTCATGCGAGGTCCAACACAAAATTTGAACTCTATCGGTTCAGCCGTTTTGACGTTTATTGGATACAAACAGACAGACAGACAAGCAAAGTATAAATATATAGATATATAAATAGCGAGGACACTAACCCTAGTTGTGTTCTGCTGTAAGCATATAAATAGGAGGAACCTGATTCCATTATTTATTTGTATCTTTGTAATACCCAATATTTATGTTATGGAAGGAAATGGGGAAGTCAGGGCCAAGGAATATCTATTCAAGGATTCTTCACGACAAAACAATGTATTTTATATGATTTACGAAGATTGTAAGGAGATTTTCGTTTGGTTCGTTTCCTGTTCTTCACTAAAATTTCTTCTAAAAGGGCTGTTAACGTAATTTTATTTGACCCTCGGTTCAAAGATGCCAATACCCGACTCACAACGGCGTTATCTAATCAATTATGAATTAGATATCAATGTTTATAATCTTGAAAACTGATTTTTTCAATTGTGTGTCGATTTTCTTCAGAATTGACTCGCGCATTTCTACTGCAGAAAACAAAGGAAATGTCAGAAAACTACAAGAAGTTCCGAATTATTGATCAAATAGGTTTAAGGGTTGTAAATCTGGCGTTGCTGGCACTCCACGAAGGGTCACTTGAAATGACAGTGGCAAAAATTTTATAATTCTCAAATGAAAACTGAAAAAATCTGCAAAACCTGTCACGTAATAGCTTTTGCATAAATAGTTTGCGAAACTTAAGGGAAATCTTTGTATTTTATTGGAGCTTCCTGGTCTTGATATTCCTTGGTCCGTACTGTATCTGAGAATGTATTGTGGTATTGTGTATACCGAATTTATTGTTAGTACATCGCTGAAAGGTCAGAAGTCCAATGAATCCAGTATCCAGTATCCAGTATCTAGTATCTAGTATCCAGTATCCAGTATCTAGTATCCAGTATCCAGTATCTAGTATCCAGTATCCAGTATCTAGTATCCAGTATCTAGTATCCAGTATCCAGTATCTAGTATCCAGTATCTAGTATGCAGTATCCAGTATCTAGTATCTAGTATCCAGTATCCAGTATCTAGTATCCAGTATCTAGTATGCAGTATCCAGTATCCAGTATGCAGTACCCAGTATCCTTGTTTAGTTGGCCAAATCCAAAAACGCACCTAACCATCCGATTTAAATGTTGATACAATGGACTGTAAATGTAAAATTAATCCTGAAAAAAAACAGCTAAGATATGTTTTTACTTATTCGTTTAATAATTAAAAAGAATTACTTTGATTTTGTATTTTGATGAACGATCGTTATTCGTTAACATTTAAGTTTCCAAAAAAAAAGTAATTGGGCCTGATTGGTTGAGCAGAGTTTGACATTTATCATGAATACAGACTAACAAGAAAAATATCTACAGTTAAACCCTAAATAAGCCATTCATCGAAAAAATATATCGAATGTCGTCTTGACAATTTTTCAATGGGTTTTATACTATTTTACGTTAATCTTAATATTTGCGAAAATAAATAAATAGCCATGAATATGCGGGAACAGTTTTAAAGAGCTCCATATAATCATTTAATTAAAAAACTAATATGCAACATTCCATTATCAGAAAGTGCAGAATACGACTTATTTAGGGTTTAACTATGAACAAATATTGAGATTTACACAACGTGATTTGAACACGTTAGTCGGGTTTTAATATTCAAAAATATTCCAGGAAAACATCCGCCGTAATTTTATTATTCATCTCTTACAGAAAATATTTCAAAGAAAATCCTAAATAAAGATTAATAGAGCCATAACTAAGGGGGGGGGGGACACGTGCACCTCTCCTCTAAGATCAATTTTCATTTTGGAGCCTATCTGATTCACAACGGTACCCTCACAACCTTTGTAATACGAAAAACTAATGGCTCATTTGAATACAAGCCCAAGTTCTAGGAAGCTAGATCAGGCTGTGTACAGTTGACATACAGCCTGTAGACGGTAAAACAAGACAGTACATGGCACAGCTTCTAGGCAGCTAGATCAGGCTGTGTACAGCTTACATACAGCCTGTAGACGGTAAAACAGGACAGTACATGGGCCAGCTTCTAGGCAGCTACAGGGTGTCCCAAAAAACATGGGAATTCAGTGACGAAATTGATATCGTCTTTGTTATGAATTAGCACTGTAATACCTAATTTCAAAAGCCAAAATATTATTATGTCTGCTAGAGTTTATTTTATGAAAAGGGTAAAAGACTGCAAAGATGTGTCTATAATGTCTCCGCAAGATGAACAGTGAAGACGGACAAGTTTACTCTGTTTGTATACTGCAATTTTCTTGTTTTACTAAGTACAACCGTATGCAGTCAAAACATAAACAAACAAAATGTGAACATAGCAGACGAAACTCTTACAGATTACAGCTTTCTCTGTAGGTATCACTATACTAAATCAAAGAATTATTTGAAAAGACGATATCGAATTCGTCACTGAATTCCCATGTTTTTTGGGACACCCTGTAGATCATGCTGTGAACAGCTTACATACACAGCCTGTAGACGGTAAAACAGTACACTAAATGGGCCAAATGAATGCACTCCTTGTGAATTGAACAA